GATGGGGTCTATGGGTGGGGTCTATGGATGGAGTATACGGATGAGGTCTATGGATGGGGTCTATGGATGAGGTCTGTGGATGGGGTCTGTGGATGGGGTCAGTGGATGGAGTCTATGGATGGGATCTATGGATGGAGTATATGGATGGGGTCAGTGGATGGGTTCTATGGATGGAGACTATGGATGGGGTCTGTGGATGGGGTCAGTGGATGGAGTCTATGGATGGGATCTATGGATGGAATATATGGATGGGGTCTATGGATGGGGTCTATGGATGGGGTCTATGGATGGGGTCAGTGGATGGGGTCTGTGGATGGAGTATACGGATGGGGTCTGTGGATGGGGTCTGTGGATGGGGTCTGTGGATGGAGTCTGTGGATGGGGTCTGTGGATGGGGTCTATGGATGGGGTCTGTGGATGGGGTCTGTGGATGGGGTCAGTGGATGGGGTCTATGGATGGGGTCAGTGGATGGGGTCAGTGGATGGGGTCTGTGGATGGAGTATACGGATGGGGTCTATGGATGGGGTCTGTGGATGGGGTCTATGGATGGGGTCTGTGGATGGGGTCTATGGATGGAGTCTGTGGATGGGGTCTGTGGATGGGGTCTGTGGATGGGGTCAGTGGATGGGGTCAGTGGATGGGGTCAGTGGATGGGGTCTGTGGATGGGTCAGTGGATGGGGTCTGTGGATGGAGTATACGGATGAGGTCTATGGATGGGTTCTATGGATGGGGTCTATGGATGGGGTCTGTGGATGGGGTCTATGGATGGGGTCTGTGGGTGGGGTCTATGGGTGGGGTCTTTGGATGGGGTCTTTGGATGGGGTCTGTGGATGGGGTCTATGGATGGGGTCTGTGGGTGGGGTCTATGGGTGGGGTCTTTGGATGGGGTCTGTGGATGGGGTCTGTGGATGGAGTATACGGATGAGGTCTATGGATGGGTTCTATGGATGGGGTCTGTGGATGGGGTCTGTGGATGGGGTCTGTGGATGGGGTCTATGGATGGGGTCTATGGGTGGGGGTCTATGGGTGGGGTCTTTGGATGGGGTCTGTGGATGGAGTATACGGATGAGGTCTATGGATGGGGTCTATGGATGGGGTCTATGGATGGGGTCTGTGGATGGGGTCTGTGGATGGGGTCAGTGGATGGAGTCTATGGATGGGATCTATGGATGGAATATATGGATGGGGTCTATGGATGGGGTCTGTGGATGGGGTCTGTGGATGGGGTCTGTGGATGGGGTCTGTGGATGCGGTCTATGGATGGAGTCTGTGGATGGGGTCTGTGGATGTGGTCTATGGATGGGGTCTGTGGATGGGGTCTGTGGATGGGGTCTATGGATGGGGTCAGTGGATGGGTCAGTGGATGGGGTCTGTGGATGGAGTATACGGATGGGGTCTATGGATGGGGTCTGTGGATGGGGTCTATGGATGGGGTCTGTGGATGGGGTCTATGGATGGGGTCTGTGGATGGGGTCTGTGGATGGGGTCTATGGATGGGGTCTGTGGATGGGGTCTGTGGATGGGGTCTGTGGATGGGGTCTGTGGGATGGGGTCTATGGATGGGGTCTGTGGATGGGGTCTGTGGATGGGGTCTGTGGATGGGGTCTATGGGTGGAACCTATGGATGGGGTCTATGGTGGGGGAGCTATGGATGGGGTCCGTGGATGGGGTCTGTGGATGGGGTCTATGGATGGGGTCTATGGATGGGGTCTGTGGATGGGGTCTATGGATGGGGTCTGTGGATGGGGTCTGTGGATGGGGTCTATGGGTGGGAGCTATGGATGGGGTCAGTGGATGGGGTCTGTGGATGGGGTCTGTGGATGGGGTCTATGGATGGGGTCTGTGGATGGGGTCTATGGATGGGGTCTGTGGATGGGGTCTGTGGATGGGGTCTATGGGTGGGAGCTATGGATGGGGTCAGTGGATGGGGGGTCTGTGGATGGGGTCTGTGGATGGGGTCTATGGATGGGGTCTGTGGATGGGGGTCTATGGATGGGGTCTATGGATGGGGTCTGTGATGGGGTCAGTGGATGGGGTCAGTGGATGGGGTCAGTGGATGGGGTCTATGGATGGGTCTGTGGATGGGGTCTATGGATGGGGTCTGTGGATGGGGTCAGTGGATGGGGTCTATGGATGGGGTCAGTGGATGGGGTCTATGGATGGGGTCTATGGATGGGGTCTATGGATGGGGTCTATGGATGGGGTCAGTGGATGGGGTCTATGGATGGGGTCTATGGATGGGGTCTATGGATGGGGTCTTTGAAGCTCAGTGCAGGATGTTCTCAGCTGCAATTACAGCCAATCATCTTTGATTCATTGATCTGGGGGAGGGGTCAGTAGACATGTTGGCTGTAAGGTCCCATATGGTTGGTAGATACCAGAATGCTGGGGGTAGAAATGGTTCTTCGGGATCTTCACCGTCCAGAGAGGAGATCTTCCCTCATACAGGATCTGGAACAATTTCGAAGGACTTTCTTCTTGGAGAGGAACCTTTCCATCATGAAGGTTTCTATGACTTCTGGTTGGTGTGTAGAAATTGTTGCAGCTCTGTATTAATGGATACATCATGTCATTGATTGTTGATGCGAGCAGAGCTCTGACTGGGAGAGGGAGATGCAGCCAACCAGCTGTGTTGCAGTACTCATGTGCAGAGAGATGATCTCATGAGTCTGCTGCTTCTCCTTTCTCAGGCTGGGGGAGGAACAAATGTTACCTAACTGCAGCTGAAGAAAATGCAGTGTTCAGGTCTTGTGCCCGGAGTTCTCCTTCGAGTCTGGCAGGCCAGTGTTATTATTATTATACAGTATTTATAGTTGGCTCAGCGCTGTACATTACAGAGGACAGAACATGTGACAGAACAATACCAATACAATGTGATACATGAGGGGATCGAGGGCCCTGATCCTTGGAGCTTACAATCTAGGAGGGAGGGGATGGTGGCACAGGAGGAGATAGCTGTGGGGGATGGAGTGGTAGGAGGAGTGGAGGAGGTCGGCAAGTTAGCAGGGGGTGGGGTAGGCTTCCCTGAAGAGGTGGGTTTTCAGGGTGCGCCTAAAGGAGAGGAGAGTAGGTGATAATCTGATGGGTTGGGGCAGGGAGTTCCAGAGGATGGGTGACACCCTGGAGAAGTCCTGGAGGCGGGCATGGGAGGAGGAGACCAGGGAACTAGAGAGAAGGAGGTCTTGTGAGGAGCGGAGTGTGCGTGTTGGGCGGTACTTGGATATTAGGTCGGTGATGTAGTTCGGGGCAGTATGGTGGACAGCTTTGTACGTCAGTGTTAGGATTCTGAATTTGATCCGTTGGGAAATCGGAAGCCAGTGGAGGGATTGGCAGAGGGGGGTGGAGGACACTGAATGGAGGCCAGTGGAGGGATTGGCAGAGGAGGGTGGAGGACACTGAGTGGAGGCCAGTGGAGGGATTGGCAGGAGGGGGGTGGAGGACACTGAGTGGAGGCCAGTGGAGGGATTGGCAGAGAGGGGTGGAGGACACTGAGTGGAGGCCAGTGGAGGGATTGGCAGAGGGGGGTGGAGGACACTGAGTGGAGGCCAGTGGAGGGATTGGCAGAGAGGGGTGGAGGACACTGAGTGGAGGCCAGTGGAGGGATTGGCAGAGGGGGGTGGCGGAGATGGAGCGGTTGGAAAGGTGAATGAGTCTGGCGGCCGTATTCAGGATGGACTGAAGCGGGGATAGATGCCTGCGGCGAGGCAGGCCAGTGAGGAGGGAGTTGCAGTAGTCGAGTCGTGAGATGATGAGGGAGTGGATGAGCTGTTTAGTGGTTTCTGGGGTTAGGAACGTGCGGATTTTGGCGATGTTGCGGAGGCGGAGTCTGCATGTTGCGGAGGCGGAGTCTGCATGTTGCGGGGGTGGAGTCTGCATGTTGCGGGGGTGGAGTCTGCATGTTGCGGGGGTGGAGTCTGCATGTTGCGGGGGTGGAGTCTGCATGTTGCGGAGGTGGAGTCTGCATGTTGCGGAGGTGGAGTCTGCATGTTGCGGAGGCGGAGTCTGCATGTTGCGGGGGTGGAGTCTGCATGTTGCGGGGGTGGAGTCTGCATGTTGCGGGGGTGGAGTCTGCATGTTGCGGGGGTGGAGTCTGCATGTTGCGGAGGTGGAGTCTGCATGTTGCGGAGGTGGAGTCTGCATGTTGCGGAGGTGGAGTCTGCACGAGTTTGTTAAAGATTGGACTTGGGGCTGGAAGGATAGGTTGGAGTCCAGAATGACACCAAGTACTCTGGCCTGCAGGGCGGGTTTGATGGTGGCGTTGTTGGATGTGACGGAGAAGTCAATGGGGGGGGTCCGGGCTGGGGGGGGGAAGACAAGAAACTCGGTTTTGGAGAGGTTCAATTTAAGGAAGTGGAGTGACATCCAATCTGATATGTTGCTCAGTAGGTGTGTGATTTGGGCGGAGACCGAGGGGGTGAGGTGGGGGGTGGAGACCGAGGGGGTGAGGTGGGGGGGGGAGACCGAGGGGGTGAGGTGGGGGGTGGAGACCGAGGGGGTGAGGTGGGGGGCGGAGACTGAGGGGGTGAGGTGGGGGGTGGAGACCGAGGGGGTGAGGTGGGGGGTCGGAGACCGAGGGGGTGAGGTGAGGGGTTGAGAGATAGATTTGTGTGTCGTCGGCATAGAGGTGGTAGTTGAAGCCGTGAGAGTGTATGAGTTGGCCAAGGGAGGAGGTGTAGATGGAGAAGAGAAGGGGCCCGAGGACAGAGCCTTGAGGGACCCCAACAGAGAGGGGGAGTGAGGGGGGGGTGGTGGCATTATAGGTAACGCTGAAGGAGCGCTGTGATAGGTAGGATATAGATGTAATGATCGTTTCCTTGCAGGGGTAATGACATCGACTACATGGAGTTCCGTTTGTGGATCGGTCTTCATTCCGCCCTGCAGTGCCTTATCCTGGTGGCCACAGACGCCAGCTTCATCATCAAGTACATCACGCGTTTCACCGAGGAGGGATTCTCTACGCTCATCAGCTTCATCTTCATTTATGACGCCGTGAAGAAGATGATTGGATCCTTCAAGTATTATCCCATCAATTCCGACTTCAAGCCGGACTACGTCACCACCTACCGATGTGAATGTGTGGCCCCCGACCCAGGTCAGTGGACCCATTATTCTGCTTCACAAATATCCCTCCTGCCGACAGCAGCCAATCAGATTCTTTGTTACATCTTCAAATCTGCAATGTAACACGATTTCCATACCTAAAGCCGATCGATCTCTAAACTGCCACTTCTGATCCACAACAACCAATCAAACCTTCGGTGGAAAATGAATGAAATGAAAGCTGACATCTGATTGGCTGCTGGTGACGCACAGTTCGTTCTATGGAAGGGCTCACTAATTTGAGACCTTTGTATGGAGGTTTCTGAAAGATGAACTGTCTGTGTTGAATCTGATTGGTCGCTGTAGGCATTATGATGGTCTTTATAGATTATCTACAAGCAAAGCGTTCCTTTGTATTTGTGGGAGGAGTCAGGAAGGGTTATAACCCCAGTCAGGTTTTTTTTTTTTTTTGCTTTTTGTGTTTCATTTACCAAATTGTTTTCAATCAGAACCGTCCGCAATCTTCCACATCGACCAATCCAACCTGCGCTGGAAGATGAGGGATAGGGAATGAAAGCTTGCATCTGATTGGTAGCTGGGGATCCAGACACAACAGGAAGTCAGAGGAAATCTCTCCAGAGTGATGGGACCCCTGTAGTCACCAGATCAGGGGCAGACTGACAACTCATGGGGCCCCCAGGCAATAGGGGATCATGGGGCCCCTGTGTCCTTGCCCAAACTCAAAACGCCTATGAAAAAGGTACCATGGGGCCCCCTACTGACCCTGGGTCCTTGGACAGTGCCCGAGTTTCCAAATGGTCAGTCCCCCCCTGCACCAGATCAGTGTCCCCAATGGATGATTTCCTCTCTGTTCCTGCTCTGGTGACACCTTGGATTTCCAGTCACATTAAAGGGTAACTCCATTTCTGTGGGAAAAAAAAGAGCAAATAAAAAAAGAACATAATGTATAGAATGGCGACTCGAGTCGTATTGTAATCCCTTCGCAATCTGCAGCCGCCGTCCTCTTCTGTAAAATGCAATATGGCCGCCTGGAGGTGTTCTGTACACAGATGGTATATGGACCGCCCCCAGAAATGTCATTCCCTGCTGTGTGATTGGCTTCACTGTCTACACTCAGATACACATTAGATTTTGGGCATCCCCTGCAAAATTGTCATTTTTGGTGAGATCCTCCTAATAGGAAATCAGATCTGGAGGGATGCAGACCCTGCCACTTTCCTCAATAGAGCCCTGCAGGTGCAGCAGCTGATTGATAATGATATAGCCCCTCCCAGTCACACTCTGAACAGGACACGGGGAAAACAAACAGAGATTTCTTCAGAATAACAAAAGGTCGGAATCTGCTACAAAGTGTTCCCAATCCCTGCAATGTACAGAGATCCCCCGAGGGGGCGGGGTTTCCTCAACAAAAGGAGTTCCTCTTCAAGCTTCATTGTCACAGGACACATAGAGATGGTGGCTCTTCCCATGGGGGGGTGGTAATAAAAACCTGACGGGGGTTCTAAGCTCCCACCGCTTCTAAGCTCCCACCAGGGCGCTAGATCCACAGTTCTAAGCTCCACCGCAGATACACTCCATGTATGAGCAGCTTCCTAGTTATGAGGGGCGCTGAGTCCAGATGGGTCTCCTCTATAGTCATGAGTACAGTAAGGAGGAGGACACAAAATATGGTCCATCCTGTTGTAGGACATGGCGGGGGAGGGGCGTTTCCTCACCGTTATCTCCTCCCCTTTTCTGTGTGTGGGAATTCCTCCATGTCACCAATGCATACATTCGTCTGTGACGTCATGGGGTCTCGGTGCCAGCCGGGTCATGGGAATGGTGGAGGGACTGCGGTGTCACCAGGATCCAAAGGAAATGATTGGGATCATGTGGATTCTGTATAACGTATGTAACTGATATATCTGCCACATCACTCCCTTATTCCTCCGCATGGCTCTGTATCTCAAGGCTGCTCCTGACCTGTGAGTTCCATCTCTGTCGTAAACGATTCCACTGATCTCCTCTATGGTCATGTGTAGACCCTCATAGGATCCACCGAATCCCCACTACAGTCACGTGTAGACCCTCATAGGATCCACCGAATCCCCTCTACAGTCGTGTAGACCTCTCATAGGATCCACCGAATCCCCTCTACAGTCACGTGTGTAGACCCTCATAGGATCCACCGAATCCCCTCTACAGTCACGTGTAGACCCTCATAGGATCCACCGAATCCCCTCTACAGTCGTGTGTAGACCCTCATAGGATCCACCGAATCCCCTCTACAGTCGTGTGTAGACCCTCATAGGATCCACCGAATCCCCTCTACAGTCGTGTGTAGACCCTCATAGATCCACCGAATCCCCTCTACAGTCGTCGTGTGTAGACCCTCATAGGATCCACCGAATCCCCTCTACAGTCGTGTGTAGACCCTCATAGGATCCACCGAATCCCCTCTACAGTCACGTGTGTAGACCCTCATAGGATCCACCGAATCCCCTCTACAGTCACGTGTGTAGACCCTCATAGGATCCACCGAATCCCCTCTACAGTCGTGTGTAGACCCTCATAGGATCCACCGAATCCCCTCTACAGTCGTGTGTAGACCCTCATAGGATCCACCGAATCCCCTCTACAGTCGTGTGTAGACCCTCATAGGATCCACCGAATCCCCTCTACAGTCACGTGTAGACCCTCATAGGATCCACCGAATCCCCTCTACAGTCACGTGTGTAGACCCTCATAGGATCCACCGAATCCCCTCTACAGTCACGTGTGTAGAGACCCTCATAGGATCCACCGAATCCCCTCTACAGTCACGTGTAGACCCTCATAGGATCCACCGAATCCCCTCTACAGTCGTGTGTAGACCCTCATAGGATCCACCGAATCCCCTCTACAGTCACGTGTAGACCCTCATAGGATCCACCGAATCCCCTCTACAGTCACGTGTGTAGACCCTCATAGGATCCACCGAATCCCCTCTACAGTCACGTGTGTAGACCCTCATAGGATCCACCGAATCCCCTCTACAGTCACGTGTGTAGACCCTCATAGGATCCACCGAATCCCCTCTACAGTCACGTGTGTAGACCCTCATAGGATCCACCGAATCCCCTCTACAGTGTGTGTAGACCCTCATAGGATCCACCGAATCCCCTCTACAGTCACGTGTGTAGACCCTCATAGGATCCACCGAATCCCCTCTACAGTCACGTGTAGACCCTCATAGGATCCACCGAATCCCCTCTACAGTCACGTGTAGACCCTCATAGGATCCACCGAATCCCCTCTACAGTCACGTGTAGACCCTCATAGGATCCACCGAATCCCCTCTACAGTCACGTGTAGACCCTCATAGGATCCACCGAATCCCCTCTACAGTCACGTGTAGACCCTCATAGGATCCACCGAATCCCCTCTACAGTCACGTGTAGACCCTCATAGGATCCACCGAATCCCCTCTACAGTCACGTGTAGACCCTCATAGGATCCACCGAATCCCCTCTACAGTCACGTGTAGACCCTCATAGGATCCACCGAATCCCCTCTACAGTCACGTGTAGACCCTCATAGGATCCACCGAATCCCCTCTACAGTCACGTGTAGACCCTCATAGGATCCACCGAATCCCCTCTACAGTCACGTGTAGACCCTCATAGGATCCACCGAATCCCCTCTACAGTCACGTGTAGACCCTCATAGGATCCACCGAATCCCCTCTACAGTCACGTGTAGACCCTCATAGGATCCACCGAATCCCCTCTACAGTCACGTGTAGACCCTCATAGGATCCACCGAATCCCCTCTACAGTCACGTGTAGACCCTCATAGGATCCACCGAATCCCCTCTACAGTCACGTGTAGACCCTCATAGGATCCACCGAATCCCCTCTACAGTCACGTGTAGACCCTCATAGGATCCACCGAATCCCCTCTACAGTCACGTGTGTAGACCCTCATAGGATCCACCGAATCCCCTCTACAGTCACGTGTAGACCCTCATAGGATCCACCGAATCCCCTCTACAGTCACGTGTAGACCCTCATAGGATCCACCGAATCCCCTCTACAGTCACGTGTAGACCCTCATAGGATCCACCGAATCCCCTCTACAGTCACGTGTAGACCCTCATAGGATCCACCGAATCCCCTCTACAGTCACGTGTAGACCCTCATAGGATCCACCGAATCCCCTCTACAGTCACGTAGACCCTCATAGGATCCACCGAATCCCCTCTACAGTCACGTGTGTAGACCCTCATAGGATCCACCGAATCCCCTCTACAGTCACGTGTACCCCTCATAGGATCCACCGAATCCCCTCTACAGTCACGTGTAGACCCTCATAGGATCCACCGAATCCCCTCTACAGTCGTGTGTAGACCCTCATAGGATCCACCGAATCCCCTCTACAGTCACGTGTAGACCCTCATAGGATCCACCGAATCCCCTCTACAGTCACGTGTGTAGACCCTCATAGGATCCACCGAATCCCCTCTACAGTCAACGTGTAGACCCTCATAGGATCCACCGAATCCCCTCTACAGTCACGTGTAGACCCTCATAGGATCCACCGAATCCCCTCTACAGTCACGTGTAGACCCTCATAGGATCCACCGAATCCCCTCTACAGTCACGTGTAGACCCTCATAGGATCCACCGAATCCCCTCTACAGTCACGTGTAGACACTCATAGGATCCACCGAATCCCTCTACAGTCACGGTAGACCCTCATAGGATCCACCGAATCCCCTCTACAGTCACGTGTAGACCCTCATAGGATCCACCGAATCCCCTCTACAGTCACGTGTAGACCCTCATAGGATCCACCGAATCCCCTCTACAGTCACGTGTAGACCCTCATAGGATCCACCGAATCCCCTCTACAGTCACGTGTAGACCCTCATAGGATCCACCGAATCCCCTCTACAGTCACGTGTAGACACTCATAGGATCCACCGAATCCCCTCTACAGTCACGTGTAGACCCTCATAGGATCCACCGAATCCCCTCTACAGTCACGTGTAGACCCTCATAGGATCCACCGAATCCCCTCTACAGTCACGTGTAGACCCTCATAGGATCCACCGAATCCCCTCTACAGTCACGTGTAGACCCTCATAGGATCCACCGAATCCCCTCTACAGTCACGTGTAGACCCTCATAGGATCCACCGAATCCCCTCTACAGTCACGTGTAGACCCTCATAGGATCCACCGAATCCCTTCTATAGTCATGTGTAGACCCTCATAGGATCCACCGAATCCCCTCTACAGTCGTGTGTAGACCCTCATAGGATCCATCGAATCCCCTCTACAGTCACGTGTAGACCCTCATAGGATCCACCGAATCCCCTCTACAGTCACGTGTAGACCCTCATAGGATCCATTGACCTATGGGGAATGTGAAACAATATCGGTTCCCTTTTCTGATCTGGAGATGTTTTAATCCTCCATAGATTTGTTGCTATTAAACGATAAATTCATTCATAACTGGACACTGAATCCAACTACACGTCTCATGAGCATCGGGGATCCCAAGGGGGAGATTTCTAGGATCCACCGAATTGGCTTCATCCCCCTTGTAGTCTGGCTTCATCCCCATGTAGTCTGGCTTCATCCCCCATGTAGTCTGGCTTCATCCCCCATGTAGTCTGGCTTCATCCCCCATGTAGTCTGGCTTCATCCCCCATGTAGTCTGGCTTCATCCCCCACCGTCTGGCTTCATCCCCCATGTAGTCTGGCTTCATCCCCCATGTAGTCTGGCTTCATCCCCCATGTAGTCTGGCTTCATGTAGTCTGGCTTCATCCCCCATAGTAGTCTGGCTTCATCCCCCTTGTAGTCTGGCTTCATAGGATCCACCTGTCATCCTTACATCCCCATGTAGTCTGGCTTCATCCCCCAATGTAGTCTGGCTTCATCCCCCATGTGTAGCTTCATCCCCCTCTGGCTTCAACCCCCTTGTAGTCTGGCTTCATCCCCCATGTAGTCTGGCTTCATCCCCTCATAGTCTGGCTTCATCCCCCATGTAGTCTGGCTTTCATCCCCGTTGTAGTCTGGCTTCATCCCCCTTGTAGTCTGGCTTCATCCCCCATGTAGTCTGGCTTCATCCCCCATGTAGTCTAGCTTCATCCCCCTTGTAGTCTGGCTTCATCCCCTTGTAGTCTGGCTTCATCCCCATTGTAGTCTGGCTTCATCCCCCATGTAGTCTGGCTTCAATCCCCCATGTAGTCTGGCTTCATCCCCCTTGTAGTCTGGCTTCATCCCCCATGTAGTCTGGCTTCATCCCCCATGTAGTCTGGCTTCATCCCCCATGTAGTCTGGCTTCATCCCCTTTGTAGTCTGGCTTCATCCCCCATTGTAGTCTGGCTTCATCCCCCATGTAGTCTGGCTTCATCCCCCATGTAGTCTGGCTTCATCCCCCTTGTAGTCTGGCTTCATCCCCCATGTAGTCTGGCTTCATTCCCCCTTGTAGTCTGGCTTCATCCCCCATGTAGTCTGGCTTCATCCCCCATGTAGTCTGGCTTCATCCCCCTTGTAGTCTGGCTTCATCCCCCATGTAGTCTGGCTTCATCCCCCATGTAGTCTGGCTTCATCCCCCATGTAGTCTGGCTTCATCCCCCTTGTAGTCTGGCTTCATCCCCCTTGTAGTCTGGCTTCATCCCCCATGTAGTCTGGCTTCATCCCCCTTGTAGTCTGGCTTCATCCCCTTGTAGTCTGGCTTCATCCCCCCATGTAGTCTGGCTTCATCCCCCATGTAGTCTGGCTTCATCCCCCTTGTAGTCTGGCTTCATCCCCCTTGTAGTCTGGCTTCATCCCCCATGTAGTCTGGCTTCATCCCCCATGTAGTATCCCCCATGTAGTCTGCTTCATCCCCTTGTAGTCTGGCTTCATCCCCCTTGTAGTCTGGCTTCATCCCCCTTGTAGTCTGGCTTCATCCCCCATGTAGTCTGGCCTTCATCCCCCATGTAGTCTGGCTTCATCCCCCTGTAGTCTGGCTTCATCCCCCATGTAGTCTGGCTTCATCCCCCATGTAGTCTGGCTTCATCCCCCTTGTAGTCTGGCTTCATCCCCCTTGTAGTCTGGCTTCATCCCCCCATGTAGTCTGGCTTCATCCCCCATGTAGTCTGGCTTCATCCCCCATGTAGTCTGGCTTCATCCCCCATGTAGTCTGGCTTCATCCCCATGTAGTCTGGCTTCATTCCCCCATGTAGTCTGGCTTCATCCCCCATGTAGTCTGGCTTCATCCCCCATGTAGTCTGGCTTCATCCCCCATGTAGTCTGGCTTCATTCCAAGTGCTGTTGGGACCCTGGCCATGGATTCCCCATTGGAATATTGTGTATGGGGGGACATCCCCCAAGGATGGGGCTATCCGCCCGTTCAGTATAAAACCAGCTCAGTGTGTCCCAGGGGCCATTGTCCAGCTCTTCTCACATTGACCCAAGGCCCACACCATAGACACATGTTAGAGTTCCTCTTTATATCACATGATTGAAGCCCCCATTGCCTCCCACTGATATGTTCCGTGATGGATTGTATGAAGCAAATACTGAAGCCAATCTCTCTCTCTCTCTTCCAGTGAACACAACTTTATTCAATGATTCAGCCATGTTTGCAGCTAACAACACTAACACAACTTTGGTAAGTAATGTTCAGCAGAACTGACCATTCTCTATAGATGTGAGGGCTGACCCTTGGGTGGGATGGGCTTCCCTGAAGAGATGAGCTTTCATAGATCACCTAAAGGCTGGTGAAGGAGAAGATAGACAGATTGGGGTGGGAGTTTCCGAGGAGAAGACCAGGGAGGTAGAGAGCAGGAGGTCTCGGGGAGGAGTGGAGTGCATGTTTGGGTGATATTGTAAGATGAGTTGGTGATGGAGCTCCGGGAGGAGATGTGGATGGCTTCTATGTTGTCAGTGTTTTTAATTGTAGTAGTTGGGAAATCAGAAACCAGTGGAGGGATTGGCAGAGAGGTGGAGGACACTGAATGGAGGCTAGTGGAGGATTGGCAGAGAGGTGGAGGACACTGAGTGGAGGCCAGTGGAGGGATTGGCAGAGAGGGGTGGAGTTCACTGAATGGAGGACAGTGGAGGGATTGGCAGAGAGGGGTGGAGGACACTGAATGGAGGACAGTGGAGGGATTGGCAGAAAGAAATAGAGGCCACTGAATGGAGACCAGTGGAGGGATTGGCAGAGAGGGTGGAAGACACTGAGTGGAGGCCAGTGGAGGGATTGGCAGAGAGGGGTGGAGGACACTGAGTGGAGGTCAGTGGAGGGATTGGCAGAGAGGGGTGGAGGACACTGAGTGGAGGTCAGTGGAGGGATTGGCAGAGAGGGGTGGAGGACACTGAGTGGAGGTCGGTGGAGGGATTGGCAGAGAGGGGTGGAGGACACTGAATGGAGGCCGGGGAGGGATTGGCAGAGAGGGGTGGAGGACACTGAATGGAGGCCGGTGGAGGGATTGGCAGAGAGGGGTGGAGGGACACTGAATGGAGGCCAGTGGAGGGATTGGCAGAGAGGGGTGGAGGACACTGAATGGAGGCCAGTGGAGGGATTGGCAGAGAGGGGTGGAGGACACTGAGCGGTTGGTAAGGTAGATAGGTCTGGCAGGAGCATCCTTGATAGACTGAGGGGAGTTATTTGTACGAGGAGGAAGTTGAAAAGTCGAGAGATAACAGGGAAGTGAATTAGTATCTCGGTGGTTTCATTCATTAAGAAGGGGTGAATTTTGGAAATGACTACAATGACGTCCTCTGGAGTACGGTGTACATAGGGGGTCAGGAGGGCCAGGTGGAGATGACAGGTGTGACTACAATGCACGTCCTCTGGAGTACGGTGTACATAGGGGGTCAGGAGGCCAGGTGGAGATGACAGGTGTGACTACAATGCATGTCCTCTGGAGTACGGTGTACATAGGGGGTCAGGAGGCCAGGTGGAGATGACAGGTGTGACTACAATGCATGTCCTCTGGAATATGGTGTACATAGGGGGTCAGGAGGCCAGGTGGAGATGACAGGTGTGACTACAATGCATGTCCTCTGGAGTACGGTGTACATAGGGGGTCAGGAGGCCAGGTGGAGATGACAGGTGTGACTACAATGCATGTCCTCTGGAGTACGGTGTAACATAGGGTGTCAGGAAGCCAGGTGGAGATGACACGTGTGACTACAATGCACGTCCTCTGGAGTACGGTGTACATAGGGGGTCAGGAGGCCAGGTGGAGATGACAGGTGTGACTACAATGCACGTCCTCTGGAGTACGGTGTACATAGGGGGTCAGGAGGCCAGGTGGAGATGACAGGTGTGACTACAATGCACGTCCTCTGGAGTACGGTGTACATAGGGGGTCAGGAGGCCAGGTGGAGATGACAGGTGTGACTACAATGCACGTCCTCTGGAGTACGGTGTACATAGGGGGTCAGGAGGCCAGGTGGAGATGACAGGTGTGACTACAATGCACGTCCTCTGGAGTACGGTGTACATAGGGGGTCAGGAGGCCAGGTGGAGATGACAGATGTGACTACAATGCATGTCCTCTGGAGTACGGTGTACATAGGGGGTCAGGAGGCCAGGTGGAGATGACAGGTGTGACTACAATGCATGTCCTCTGGAGTACGGTGTACATAGGGGTCAGGAGGCCAGGTGGAGATGACAGGTGTGACTACAATGCATGTCCTCTGGAGTACGGTGTACATAGGGGTCAGGAGGCCAGGTGGAGATGACAGGTGTGACTACAATGCATGTCCTCTGGAGTACGATGTACATAGGGGGTCAGGAGGCCAGGTGGAGATGACAGGTGTGACTACAATGCATGTCCTCTGGAGTACGGTGTACATAGGGGGTCAGGAGGCCAGGTGGAGATGACAGGTGTGACTACAATGCATGTCCTCTGGAGTACGGTGTACATAGGGGGTCAGGAGGCCAGGTGGAGATGACAGATGTGACTACAATGCATGTCCTCTGGAGTACGGTGTACATAGGGGGGTCAGGAGGCCAGGTGGAGATGACAGGTGTGACTACAATGCATGTCCTCTGGAGTACGGTGTACATAGGGGGTCAGGAGGCCAGGTGGAGATGACAGGTGTGACTACAATGCATGTCCTCTGGAGTACGGTGTACATAGGGGGTCAGGAGGCCAGGTGGAGATGACAGGTGTGACTACAATGCATGTCCTCTGGAGTACGGTGTACATAGGGGGTCAGGAGGCCAGGTGGAGATGACAGATGTGACTACAATGCACGTCCTCTGGAGTACGATGTACATAGGGGGTCAGGAGGCCAGGTGGAGATGACAGGTGTGACTACAATGCACGTCCTCTGGAGTACGGTGTACATAGGGGGTCAGGAGGCCAGGTGGAGATGACAGGTGTGACTACAATGCATGTCCTCTGGAGTACGGTGTACATAGGGGGTCAGGAGGCCAGGTGGAGATGACAGGTGTGACTACAATGCATGTCCTCTGGAGTACGATGTACATAGGGGGTCAGGAGGCCAGGTGGAGATGACAGGTGTGACTACAATGCATGTCCTCTGGAGTACGATGTACATAGGGGGTCAGGAGGCCAGGTGGAGATGACAGGTGTGACTACAATGCATGTCCTCTGGAGTTTGGTGTACATAGGGTGTCAGGAGGCCAGGTGGAGATGACAGGTGTGACTACAATGCATGTCCTCTGGAGTACGATGTACATAGGGGGTCAGGAGGCCAGGTGGAGATGACAGGGTACCATCTGTTGGGTTGGTGCTGTTCTAACAATATTTCGGTTATTATCTTCCCACATGAATTCCAAGTACAATGTCATGAATAATACAGCCTTGGACTGGAGCCAGCTGAGTATGAAGGAATGTCTGAAATATGGCGGCAGCCTGCTGGGAAATTCCTGCAACTACGTTCCTGACCTGGCGCTCATGTCCTTCATCCTCTTCTTCGGAACGTATTCCATGACGCTGACACTGAAGAAATTCAAGTTCAGCCGATACTTTCCTACCAAGGTAAGTCCTAGCTGAGGGTTGGATCTACATCCATTCATCACTCTCAGTGATTCTCCATAGATGACAAGTCGCTGTCTACATCTTGTCCTTCTCCATGTACTGACCCCGTCTTACCTGTCTCCTCAGCTGCGCACCCTGGTGGCTGATTTTGCCATAGTCGTCGCCATCCTATCCTCTTCTTCTGTGGTGTGGATGCGTATTTTGAACTGGAAACCCCAAAATTGCATGTTCCTATTAAAATTAAGGTTGGCCCTTCTGTATCCTTCTGTCCGTTCCACTCTTGTCACCCCTTTCCACTTCACCTGACAACATGCATGTTAGTTATAAGGTCATCATTGGAAGCACTTTATTAGAAACCTGTTAAATGGCACAAAACAAATCTACTGACTGACAATGTCTGTTCTAACAACAGCAAAGATAGTATGGGGAGACCCGATGTCCTACCGTATGGGAGGGGGAGGGGGGGGGAACTGACCTTCCTACCATATGGAAGGGGGAAGGAGCCAACTATCCTACCATATGAAATGGGAAATGGAGGAGGAACAACTATCCTACCATATGGAGGGGGAAGGGAGGAGGAACCAACTATCCTACCATATGGAGGGGGAAGGGAGGAGGAACCAACTATACTACCATATGGAAGAGTAAGGGAGGAGAAAGAGAAAGGGAGCATCTATCCCACCATATAGGAGAGTATGAGAGTGGAAAGGGAGGGGAACCATCTATCCCACCATAAAGGAGTGGAAGGGGGAAGGGAGGAGGAAACAACTATTCTACCATATGGAAGAGTAAGGGAGGAGAAAGAGAAAGGGAGCATCTATCCCACCATATAGGAGAGTATGAGAGTGGAAAGGGAGGGGAACCATCTATCCCACCATAAAGGAGTGGAAGGGGGAAGGGAGGAGGAACCAACTATTTACCATATGGAAGGGGAAGGGAGGAGGAACCAACTATTCTACCATATGGAAGGGGAAGGGAGGAGGAACCAACTATTCTACCATATGGACAGGGGAAGGAGGAGGAGGAACAAACTATACTACCATATGGACAGGGGAAGGGAGGAGGAACCAACTATACTACCATATGGAAAGGGGGAAGGGAGGAGGAAACCAACTATTCTACCATATGAAAGGGGGAAGGGAGGAGGAAACAACTATTCTACCATATGAAAGGGGGAAGGGAGGAGGAAACAAAACTATACTACCATATGAAAGGGGGAAGGGAGGAGGAACCAAATATTCTACCATATGGGAAGGGGAAGGGAGGAGGAAACAACTATTCTACCATATGGAGGGGGAAGGGTAGAGGAACCAACTATTCTACCATATGGAAGGGAAAGGGAGGAGAGGAAAAGAGAAGGGGAACCATCTATCCCACTATATAGGAGTGGAAGGGGAAAGGGAGGAGGAACCAACTATTCTACCATATGGAAGGGGAAGGGATGAGGAACCAACTATTCTACCATATGGGGGAAAGGAGGATTAACCAACTATCCTACCATATGGAAAGGGGAAGGGAGGGAACCAACTATCCTACCATATGGAAAGGGGAAGGGAGGAGGAACCAACTATCCTACCATATGGAAAGGGGAAGGGAGGAGGAACCAAATATTCCACCATATGAACTGGGGAAGGGGGGGGGAACCAACTATTCTACCATATGGACAGGGGAAGGGAGGAGGAACCAATTTTCCTACCATATGGAAGTGGGAAGGAAGGAGGAACCAAATATTCCACCATATGAACGGGGGAGGAAGCAACTATTCTACTATATAGAAGAGTAAGGGAACCATCTATCCTGCCATATGGGAGTGGAACGGGAGGGGGAACATCTATCCTACCACATGGGAGAGTATAGGAGCGGAAGGGGAGGGGGAACCATCTATCCCACCATATGGGAGTGGAAGGGGAAGGGGAACATCTATTCTATCATACGGGAGAGTATAGGAGCGGAAGGGGAGGGGTAACCATCTATCTGACCATTGGGTGCGTATAAGAGGAGGAAAGAGGGGGAACGATCTATGCCACCATATGGGAGAGAATGGGAGGTGAAATGTAACCATCTATCCTACTGTGGCCATCAGGGATCAGGGCTTCTTCTGAAATGACATTGGAGTTTTTGTGAGTTACTGGTTACTGATAATTAAGGCTTTGTAAAGCTTTCTCTAGAGGTCGGCTCAATGTGAGGATGACAAGGACAAATATGTGGATTTGTTTCTCAGTTTGGTCTTTGATATGATCTACTAACTGTCTCTATATTATCCTTCTTCTCCTTCTCTTTGGTTCATGCTGCATTCTTAAGCTTCGTAAACTTATTAGTGACTTCTCCATCTTCGTGTCCATTCTGATCTTTGTTGGTCTGGACATGCTCTCTGGATTAAATACTCCTAAACTACAAGTGCCTACTGAGTTTAAGGTAAACACCCCTTCAATGGTAATTGCATGCTACGGTGTGGTCCTGTGTGACTTCCCATTTAGATCACATTACTTTCTGCTTGGGTTACCGGAATATCAACCAGCCCAAAAAAAAGAAGAAAAGTCATTCGAAGAAAGAGCTCATTCTACATTATGTTCGTTTTTGGAGTTTGAAACCCATTGTGGTAGTTCTAAGTGCAAAGCTTTTATTGAGTCAACATAATACAGGACCTCCATATGTCCCCAGCAACCAACCTATCCCTAGCTGTTAACCCAAACACCTAAGCAACCCCCCTTACCTGAGTCCTGGCACTTCACCGATCCCCGAAAATTAACCATTTTTTCTTATCCTGCATGTTAAGACTTAACTTCAACCCTTAACCCAACCCATATACTCAACCAGATCACAAAATGTAACCTGAACACATCACCAGCCCCTAAAAAAAACTGTATTATAACATTTAAAGTCACCCTGACAGATCACTAAAGAAATGGCAGCTCCTTGTAGGAGAACACGTAGTACATTATTATTATTATTATTATACAGTATTTATAAAGCGCCGATAGTTGGCTCAGCGCTGTACATTACAGAGGGGACAGAACATGTGACAGAACAATAACAATACAATGCAAAACATGAGGGGATCGAGGGCCCTGCTCCTTGGAGCTTACAATCTCGGAGGGAGGGGATGGTGGTACAGGAGGAGATAGCTGTGGGGGATGGATGGTAGGAAGAGTGGAGGAGGTCAGCAAGTTAGCAGGGGGTGGGGTAGGCTTCCCTGAAGAGATGGGTTTTCAGGGTGCGCCTAAAGGAGAGGAGAGTAGGTGATAATCTGATGGGTTGGGGCAGGGAGTTCCAGAGGATGGGTGACACCCTGGAGAAGTCCTGGAGGCGGGCATGGGAGGAGGAGACCAGGGAACTAGAGAGAAGGAGGTCTTGTGAGGAGCGGAGTGTGCGTGTTGGGCGGTACTTGGATATTAGGTCAGTGATGTAGTTCGGGGCAGTATGGTGGACAGCTTTGTACGTCAGTGTTAGGATTTTGAATTTGATCCGTTGCGCAATCGGAAGCCAGTGGAGGGATTGGCAGAGGGGGGTGGAGGACACTGAGTGGAGGCCAGTGGAGGGATTGGCAGAGGGGGGTGGAAGCCAGTGGAGGGATTGGCAGAGGGGGGTGGAGGACACTGAGTGGAGGCCAGTGGAGGGATTGGCAGAGGGGGGTGGAGGACACTGAGTGGAGGCCAGTGGAGGGATTGGCAGAGGGGGGTGGAGGACACTGAGTGGAGGTCAGTGGAGGGATTGGCAGAGAGGGGTGGAGGACACTGAGTGGAGGCCAGTGGAGGGATTGGCAGAGGGGGGTGGCGGAAACGGAGCGGTTGAAAAGGTGAATGAGTCTGGCATATTCACCTCATTGATGGCTTTGTCTCCTACCTCCCCCTCCAAATCAATGGTTCTGGTATTTTACATTGGGGAACTGCAAGCCATTGCCTCTTCACAGTTTACACTCAAGCCACTACCTTTATGGGGCGATAACACTTTCAGGCCAGAGGCTTCTTCACCCGTTGAGGCCCACACGCTTATAGAAGAACCAAGTCTCTTCTCCAGTGGGCAGCTAAGTCTGTTCCTACCTGTCCGGACATTTGACTCTGAAGCGTTAGGTATTGCTGAACAAGTACAGAATCTCACCAGTTTTTTAATTGGTTGGACTAGATGGACTAGTGTCTTTTTCAACCTATGTAATGATGTAGCTTCTCTCGCATTTCAGATCAATACCTATAATTAAATCCAGCCATTGGGCACACAGGGAAGACAACATACTTCACTTTGCAAGGCCTTGCACCCCCATGACCAGGAGCTTGGTCTATGGATGGCGCTTGTATAGCAGTGGGCTTCAATATGGGGACCCTGCCACTTAGAGGAACATGAAGTACTAATGTTTCCCTCACAACCAAGTCCTCATCACTTGCCACTGTCACCATATCCTTTGCCAGATGGTTGCTTCTCCTTGTTGTTACACCACCACACTTCTGCAGCCATAAAGGTTGACCACAAAGTTCATACATAACCTCAAGGGTTAGCTTGGTTAGACTTGTTACTGCATAGTTAGCCTTCTTCGTAATCCAGAGGGATACCCATGGCTTGCTTCCAGCTCCCAGGTCCTCTGAATACACCCATTGGTAGTACACTTCAGATCCTTAGAAGTAATTTATACCAGGGAACTTTTTTTCTTTCTCAAGAATCATCTTTGCTGTTTCCCATCACGTAACATGCTGAGGAAGCTTACATTACACAACAAATCATTTCCAGTATAACATCCCTCCTGGTTGTGCGATGCATTAAGCTCTATTACCATTGGCTGCACTCTGCCCCCTCCCGTGGTGCTGGCCCATACCTGATCTCAAGCAAAGCCCTTCTCTGAATATCAATCCATGCACATGAACCTGGAGAGGGTCCTGCTAAAGGGTAGATCTCCAACAGAGCAACGTACATCACAGCACCGGTCCTTTTAGGCTACGTTCACACCAGCGCTGTGTGCAGGCGGCAGAGAGGCGTTTGGGAAGCGTTTTTACCGCTTCCCAAACGCCTCT